ATGCTAGTCTACGCTATTATAACACAGAAAATTCCCACCTCATAAAAATTATATTTGGGTCAGTTTTATAAGCACTTCGCGCCAGCTCAAAAACCATAACAGTTTTGCATCGTAATCTCGCCGTCTGAAGAGAGGTACGAGATACGTTCATAAGTGAAAACTTGAGCTCACGCTGGCTTAAATAATCTTCAAGCCCTTAAAAGTCCAGGAAGTAAAAGTCTTAGCAACAGTTAAGAAGTGAACTCATTTTTGGGACCCCGTATTACGCCCTGCGGGATATTCATCGCTTTATGTCCTCAAAAGGTCTCGAAGTATAATATTATTGTGTAATAATCGTTGTTAGTTGTTTACTATGTAATAAAATCTTGTAAAATCTTGAGAACCAGCAAACTGTTGGGGAAAACGGCTTTTTTCCATTAAAAACTCGTTTTGTTTTGCTGTGAAGATTGTCTCCTTGCTAAACAGTGTCAACATTGCTTTCATACAAGGCAGAGTTAGTTGAAGGGAGAAGTCGAAAGTGATAAACTTGTATATTATGTTCGTTTAATAGATAAGTTACCGCATTTTGAATCAGGCGTTGTGTAGACATATATCTCTGAGATATTCATTAGACGACCATGGAGATTAGAAGAGATACGTGGCAAAATCGTTTGTGTGGCACAGTTATACCATTAAATCTGAATTTAGTGGCAAGTTACCGCAAAACGAAATGAGGTACGCCCTACGCTTTTTCGAGAAAGCTGTGTTATTCGGATGATTCTTTTCTTAATAACACGAGCAAAATGCTATCACTCTAAGAGAACGTGACACTCAATAGGAAGTTGTGATGAGGTAGACTAAATTGTGCTTTGCCCATGCATAAGAGTTACTAAGTCCTGAACTCGTTATACTCGTTTCTGACGATTATTTTTCCTGGTTGCATAGAGACATAAGGATTTGGTTTGGTTTCTACGTGACATAATAACAATGCGCGTGGCTTTGCTCGTGCTTCTACAAATTAATATCGGTTTGTTTTTGATAATTCAATTAATTGCTTTGTTCTTCATTCTTGATTTTTTCGATTAACCAGGTAAATACTCTAGATAACCGTTATAGTACATTATTATTGCGCATCCCCTTTCGTTAAAGCAGGCTAGGTAAATTTTACGCTGATATGAGAATTTTTTGCTAATATTAGTCGTCGATATGGATTTCGAAGCAGTTATGCATAAACTTTATTGTCTGATTTGAAAAGTAAACAAATTTTGTCGCAAAGGAGGGATTTTCGACAAAATTACATTCTGATTTACTGGAATGCTTCGTTCGCACGTTTAGTTTCTGCGAATTGCCCCTGCAATGGTGTTGTAGTCGACGGAAGTGATCAGAAGCATTGTTGGGAAGTCGTAAAACGAGAAGCAGCTACATGGGTTGACGCAGATATCGCTTG